TCTCTCTCTCTCTCTCTCTCTCTCTCTCTCTCTCTCTCTCTCTCTCTCTGTGTGTGTGTGTGTGTGTGTGTGTGTGTGTGCGCGCGCGCGTTCGCATGTGTGTTGGCTATGTTTTAGGAGTCATAAGATCCCCTTAACCTTGCTGGCTCACTGTAAAGATATGTGTCTCAATGATGCCCCAAACTTAAGATTTATTCTCACACAGGAAGATGTAAGGCCAGGATGAGTGAACTGTCTTTTGTGTTGGTAGAGCAAGAAGATGCAATGCACAACAGACCCTGGAGTGAGCTGTTGAAGGAAAACATCCATCGCCTCCAACAGTGAGCTGCAGGGACCTCTGTGAAATTACTGCCTGACAGACCTGCTAGAGTCTCAGAGTCTCAGATTATAATTGTTGGAAATAACTATTTTTGGTCTCACACACACACACGGGGCGGGGGGCGGGGGGGAGAGAGAGAAGTAATTCTACAAGACAATTTTTTTAAGTGTACACGGAACCCTAAACCTCCCTGGGAAGCACACCAGGGCAAGAAAGTGCTTAGACTTTGTTTCAATGAAGGTAGTAATGTGTCTTTTCCCCCACTGACTGGAGACCAGCAGATTGGCTAACTTTTAAGAAATCGGGGCAAAGGAAATGAAGACAAGGGGGGAGAGATTAGCCTCTCTTGGTCACTAAGTTCCAGGAATGCAGTGGATGAGATTTTCATTTTTTTTTAACGTTACATAAAACAAAAAGATAAAGATGAAACAATTTGAAGTCTCTTACATAAAAATTTTACAAAATCAAGAGATTTATAGAAAGTTGACTCTTGGTGAGATAGCTAACTGTGATGGAAATCAAAACAAAATATTTCTCTCATACTGACTCCACTACCAATGTGTCCAGCAGGCCCTCTTCAGTTGAATGAGGTAGACATCAGCTTAGGCCTTTGTGTGCCATTTTGGAACAAGTTGGTAAGGCACGAAAACACAGCATTACAACCACTGATGCAGAGACCCACCAGAGAGTCTGATGCTTAGGGCTGGGGCAGAAACCCACACCACCTCTTGGTTCCTGTGGGCACAGTTAATGAATCCACACTTGGCATTCATGAGAATACTCATTTCTTTAAAATTCCCTGTATTAGTTTGGATGAGAATGCCCCCAGCATTTGAACACTTGGAACACATGGTTCCCAGTTTGGGAAAGGTACAACCTTGCTGGAACTGGTATATCACAGGGAGAAGGGGAGATTTGAGAGTTCAAGGCCTTCTCCCACTTAGGTTATTCTCTCTGCTTCCTGCTGGTGTTTGAAAATGTAAGCACTCAAAGTCCCTCTGCCACCAAGTCTGCTGCTTGCTGCCATGATTCCCAGCCACGATGGATTCTTTTCCCCCTGAAATCAAAGTTAAAATACCTCTTCTATAAGTTATCTTGGTCATGGTGACTTATATCAGCAACAGAAAGTAATCTCATATGAACGTTGGTACCCTGGAGACAATGCTCCACCCAGCTAAACTTCCAAATTGGAAAAAAGAATAAGAAGTTTTCAGCTCCCAGAAGGCAACTTCAAGCAAAAGCTGCTGTAACTGTGGCTCAGAGGGGAGGGCAAGGCCCTTACCAATTTGACAAAAGAGCTTGGCAGTGTTGTCCACATGATGACAGATTTGGGGACATGAAGAATGAACGAGTGAAGGAATTTTGCATTTCAGCAAGCCGTTGAGACCAGGCACTGTGTGGTAGGGAAGTCCCTTCATAAAATCCCTTAGAGGGTAGCATCATCCAATAGAAAAACTGTGTAAGTAGAGTCTGGATTACAATGGAGACTTCTGGAGTCTCCTACAGTGAAGATGTCAGAGCCAAGAGCCAAGAGACTTCTAACAAAAGAAACAAAAACAAAAAAACAAAAATCAAATACCTACACAAAGCGGGTAGAACCAGTCGAAGAGAAAGATGTGTGCTACAGACAACACAGCTGAGAAGGAAGAACCATCAAAGCCCTCTGGCACTGGATATGGAGTTACAGGATTTGGAGTTTGCTATGCTGGCTTTAGGTCTTGCTTTGATCCAGTATTTCTTCTTTATGATCTCATTTCTCCCTTTAGGAATGGCAGTGTGTATTCTGTGTCATTATATGTTGAAAGTAACTTGCATTTTCCTTTCGCAGCAAATTACAACCAAGAGATTGGTTAAGTATCAAAAGAGACGTTGGACTTTTGAAGGTTAACTAAATGTACTTTGCATTACTATAGATAAGGCCATAAGCCCATTAAGGCCAGGGAGTAGAATGTGGTGGTTCGAAGGAGAAATGTCCCCCATAGAGTCAGTATCTGAAGCTTGGTCCTCACTTGGTGATGTTGTTTGGGTGGCTATGGGTTTAGTTGGTGCAACCTTGCTGAAGAAGTATGTCATTGTAGGTGGGCTTTGAGGGTTTAAAACCTCGGCCTACTTGTCTGGTTTGTGTTTGCATTTGAAGATGTGAGCTCTCAGCTTCCTGTTCCTGCCACCATCCGTGCTGACTGCTTCATGCTTCCCTGCAATCATGGACTTTCATCCCTCTGGGACCACAAGCCAAAATAAACTCGTGGTTTCATATGCTATCTTCAGCACTTAGAGAATTTGCTTTCAGTTTCCCAAGGCAGGAAAAGTAGTCATTTCTGTTTCCATTCACAGCACTGAATCATCTTTAGCCCTTCCAGTGTCAGGGCAAAGTAAAAGAGGATCAAATTATTCTAGGTGTGTGTGTATACACATGTTTATATACGTACATGTCCACATATATACACACATATATGTGTGTGAAGATATATTTACACACACATAATATACATAAATAAAGAAAGATAAGTTCAAGACATTTAAATTTAATAATTAATATATTATAAAATGAAAAATGGCTCAGATTTTGAAGTCCCTGTTAGCTATGGTTTCACTAGTCAATTCAATTCTAGGTAATAGAAAAGAAATTCAAAATCATAACCTTGAGAACACATGTATACACAGAGAATGAAATGGACTCTCCACAGAGAGGATATGTCATGATTACACAGCAGTCTGTATATCGGAAGTTACGTGTGGAAATCTGTGGGGCTCTGGCCTGGCTAGAGCAGTCAAGGAGTTGTGCTCTCTGAGGGGGAGAGGGGAGTCACAGGGAACATCAGGGAGGGGAAGTGTAATTGCAGTTACTGAGTGGGCTTGGAGGTGCTAGCCAGCTAGGTAAGGAGGCTAGGAACCAAGGTGCCACCAAGAGGCAGGAAGAGCCCAGGTAGCTTCCAGCAGTGAAAGTTTCAGGAGAGGACTCTCTTCCCAAGAGTGTTCCAGCTCTCATATGACAGATGCTCCCAGACAGTCTTTGGTAAAACAATTCCTGCATCTTTATTTCTTCTGGATAGGGTCTTGTATCCATTTGGGGGTAGTTTGGGAGTCTGACAGCAGATGCTTTCTATTGGTTTGGTTTGAGATGTTAGGGATGCCTCATCAACACGTAGAGGGGCTTGGAGCTCTACCCCATGTGACAAATTGTCATGAACCTTTCTATGGGACGCTGTGGTCACATGACAGGGGACTGGTCAGGACCAGATAGCTGAAGCACCTATCATCCTCTGCTATGAGGTGCTGGGTCTTCTGAACCCACTCAGCTTTACCAAGTTACCAAGTTTCCTGGCACGGTCACTGCCCCACAACAGCATACTAATAAATGTGGATATCACAATATAAATAAAGAGGTCAGAAAATGGAGTCAACAAAACAGGCTGTGAGGAGTATTGATGATAGAATCCAAATCCCAGGTCAAGTGCCATAAAGGGATTAAGAAGCCCTGTGCCTGTATATAAGTACCAAGTACCTAGGAGAGGGGAGGGTCTTCTAGGTGACTGTATGTCAGGCCCAGCTGATACCAAAACTAAGCGCCACAATGTTGTGCACTCTCTGTGTGACGATTCAGTGAAAATTTCCTAACGATGTTTGCAACTCAGTAAACAGATTCCACAGACCAGTGAAACATTATAACCCCTGTTGGAGCACTATTCCCACCAGGGTTCCTGGAGCATGTTAGGAATGCATAGGTACTTGAGGGGGTGTGTGAAGGGCAATCTCTGGATTAGTAAAAATGCTGGTGGCCTTTGGCTGTTTTCCCAACCTGTTTGAATTGGTTTTAGTATAAGACTCCTAATGAGAGAGAAAGCAGGGGCTTCCTTGATGTCAGTCATGACCCACACCTACCTTCAGCAGTTTTCAGAAGATTCCCTCTCCCAACTTGACTTTGGCAAGCCCTGACTTGGAGTGGACATCAGTCCCTAAAATATGCTTTCTTCCTGGGAAGTCACAGAGGCCATGCATCTGCCTTTGCTAGAATACTTGAGAGGAAAATGGTGA